AGCTTTTCAAGACAGTGGTACAGATAATCAGAAAAGTACCAAAAAATGTATCTTTACTTGTTACCTTAAGCTGTTAAGAATTAAAAAGTGTTTGAAAGCTTATAGAGGTCCATATGATTGAGAACTTATGATTCTTGTGGGTTAACCTTTTTTTTTTTTTTTTTTTTTTTTTTTTTAATTTTGACACCAAGAGCTTATACTGGCAAAATTCTGCTCAACTGTGACAATCTTAAATCACTTTACAAATCCCAATTAAAATAAATGTGTTCACGCTTGTAAATTTCAATAGTTGTCTTTAACTTTAGTAAGATGTCATTCCTTTCATGATTCTAACATTTACATCTGCTGCAAAATGGCATCCTGCTAATCAAAAAGTACTTTTATGCTTATAAAATGGCTGCAAATACATAAAGTTCCTTATTATTTTTTAAATGCATTCTCTAATATCAAACATAATTTACATGGAATTTTTAATTAAATATAATAAATACTAAATTTAAACTGAATTTTAACTATACTCTTCTTGAGCTCTAGAACATACCTCTTCCAATTTTCTCTATCTGACACCACAGCTTCCCATCGGTTTACCCCTATCAGTTTCAAATTCTTTTCCATGCTATCTAGCCATTTAGAAGGTAGCCTTCCTTTTTGTCACTTTCCCTCTATTTTTGAGAAAATCATCTTTTTAGTAGGAAAAGCATCATCATATCTATAAATATGGCCTAGCCATCTAATACGAGATGCTTTTACAATTTTGACGATATCAGGCTCGTTATATTTCTTACATTCTCCATTCATTTTGGTCACCAGTCCAAAAATCCTCATTAGAATTTTTCTTTCAAATATCAACACATCTTCCTCTGCCTTGTTAACTGTCCAGCATTCACTTCCATATAGGGCCACAGGTCTTATCAGGCTAGTATAAACTTATTTTGGTTTTTATGCTATTAAATTTGGACTTAATGTGGTATCTGTTTGGCCACAGGTATCCTATTTTTAATTTCAATTTTAATGTCATTGAAACTTTAAATTATTGTACTTGTTTAACAGTCTCAAAAATATAATTAAGATCTTTGAAGGGGGAGTAGGTCCATGATTTTATTTGTTATCATCATAAATTTGGTCTTATCCTCGTTGATGGTTATGACCCATCTTCCCTGCTGCATATTCAAGCAAGAAAAATGCCTCAAAAACAGCCCATTCAGACCACTCAATGATATCAATGTCATCTGCAAAAGCTAGCAGTTGAATTGTTCATTGTGGAACAGTTCCACTTGTGCTTAGTTGAGAGTCTCGCACTGCCTTTTCCAGTGCCAAGTTAAACAATAGACAAGAAAATGAGTCTCCCTGTCACAGACTTTTCTTCATATAAAAAGCTCTAAGAAAAAAGACAAAATTTTTATTCTGCATTTCACACTCTTAAGTGTCATTCTCGTAAGGCTGATCAGTTTCCTAGGGATGTTAAATTTCAACGTAGCCTCAAGTAATCTTCCTCTATTTAAACTGTCATACGCAGCCTCAAGTAATCTTCCTCTATTTAAACTGTCATACGCAGCTTTAAAATCAATCAATAACGTGATAGGTGTCAATGTTATATTCCTTTGTTCATTCCAAAATTTCTCTGATAGAGTATATTTAATCAATTGTTGTTTTCCCTTTCTGAAAACCACATTCATAGCTCCCAATAATATTAGAAGTATATCTCTGCAATCTTTTATACAGAATGGTGGAGAAGATTTCATATGCTATATTCAATACATTAATTCCTCTGTAATTACAACATTCCAACTTCTCTCCTTTTTTTAATAAATATGACAAACAGACCCCTTTTCCAATCAGTAGGCATTTGTTCCCATATCATTTTCCCATATCATTGTATAATGAATAATGAAATAGATTGCTTTAATTAGTTTCATTTCATTAATATTTAATAGCTCAGCCTTGATACCATCTGGCACAGCTTTGATACCATCTGATTTAATAAGCTTTTTGTTTGCAAGTTCAACATCATAGAAGGTTGAAGGACTGTTTTTAACTATATACTCTTGCAAAAATAATTAATTTTAAAACTCTTACAGAAATAAATCTGAAAAGCTGAATTATATTAATAACATGAGATATCTTAAGAAAAACATCAGAAAGCCTTTATTACAGAATGAAAAAACTGAACCACCAACCAAATCCCATTCCTATTATGTCCAGTTAAATAAGAATTTTTTTTTTTTTTTTTTTTTTTTTTTTTTTTTTTTTTTTGTTGTTGTTATTAAGGATATAAATTTTTCAGTGCATATGGTAAAAGGGTTGTGAAATCCAAATAGTTAAGTGACTAAACAATGCATGATTTAAAAATTGCTTTGAATAAGAGAAAAAGACATGCCTTTCTTTTACAGGTAAAAATTAGTAAGATTATGTAACTGATGCAAAAAGTTTTACCTACCTGATATTGCTTAGTACACATTAACCCTCTCGCTGCGCATCCCACGATTTCCACGGGCAACATAGAAGTAGCAAAATTTACGCAACCCTCCAATTTCTGCGGGGATAACTTTTTGCCATCTATTTAACTGTGCAACCCGCTTTTTCTCCATTCAAGGTTTCCTTTCGGCTTTTCTGTGATGTTTAATTATTTATTTAGATGTGGGATAACAGATGCCATTAGTTGTTCACATTTCTGCCAAATATACAAGAATATGTAATGTAGCATTCTGCACGTGCTTTTCAGAGCTCAAAGATGTCTGGCAGGAAGCGTTTCGTGAGTGATATAACCTATATTCCTGACAATATTTCCGACACTGATTTCAAGTATATTGAAGATAGTTATAGCGAAATTGATGAGAATTTCTTGGATTCCTCTGCAGATAGTAATGAATCTGAAAATTCAGTTTCTATTGAAAAGGTTTGACAGAGGTGCAAAATTGATATGCAAATATTTTTATTAGTATACAGTGGTGGCTAAAATTGTAGACACTTTTAGAAAACTTATGTTTTTGAAATTTGCATGCTTATAGAAAACGTTATGTTTCACAAAATACGAACTTGTATATATCATTTTAAAGATAATTTATTACTGAATTCAATACAAAACACAAAATTCAATTATTTTCAATACAAAAAAAGTTAAACGATAATAGTTATCCATATACATTAGATAGTGATGATTGCAGTGAGTTATCAGTACTTAGTAGGGTACGCTTTATTTTGGATTACAGCTTCACATCGACATTTCATTGAGCTAACAAGAGTTTTAAGCTCTTCTTTCGTTATTACATGATGCTAGGAAATAATTATAGCCTCAATTAGTTCGCTTTTATTTGATGAGCGCCTCATTCGGACAAGAGTTTTCAAACAGTGCCACAAATTTTTGATAGGATTGAGGTCAGGACTGTTTCTTGGCCATGACAACAATTTAATGCTCTTTGTACGAAACCACTCTTTTGATATTTTGGCTGTGTGGCAAGGAGCAGAATCCTGCTGAAAAAATAAACGAAGCATTGTTGGGAAAGAGATCTTTGATGGAAGGTAGAAGTTTTGGTTCTAGAATAGTGTCAATGCATTTTCTGGCATTCAGTGTCCCATCGATGACATGAAGGCGACCAATAGCATCTGCTGACATGCATGACCAAATCATAACACTAACTGGGTTCTTCACAGTTGCTTGAAATGCAGTCAGGATGTAGCTCTTCTTCTATTCTACGTCTTACATATTTTCGCTCATCACTACTGAATAACGATATCTTAGTTTCATCACTCCATATAACTTGTGACCACTGATCTTCTGTCCAATTAACGTGTTCCTTTGCCCACTGTAGTCTTCTTTTTCCTTGCTGAAAATTAAGATAAGGCTTTTTTCGTGGAATTCTACCTCTCAGTCCAACATCTGTTAATCGTCTCCTGATTGTTCTTGAACTGACAGAAACACCAGCATCGTTCAGATCACTTCTGATGGCCACTGATAATATTTTTCTATCTTGGAGACACAGTCTTTTTATTCTTCTGTCATCAATAGATGTGGTGCACCTTTTGTCGGCCTTTTCCTTCTTTGTTTTTTTATTGAATTTGTCTCCTGATATCGTAAACAAAACTTTTGGACTCCAGATGTAGTCGCTGAACCACCCACCTGTCTTGCGATTTCAGCATAGGAAAGACCACTTTCTCGTAACACAATAATATTACATCTCTTTCTAGGTGTCTAATCTACTCTTTTATTTGATGTCATTGCTTCTTGACTAAATATTAAAAATTTTTACAAAAATTCCTACTTGTAATTGCAGTGTATAAGAAACAAGTCCTCCTTCTACAGAACAAAGCAAAATAATGAATTGTTTCAAGTGTAAACATGATGTCAGCTTCTACTGGCAGTTACTAACATTTGATTGGTTCTCAGAACAAGAACAGTGATTGGCCAGACATTACAAACATTACAAACCACTTCATAACTGTGTTTTTTATTTATATTAAAGTACATATAACTTTTTTGTATTGAAAATAATTGAATTTTGTGTTTTGTATTGAATTCAGTAATAAATTCTCTTTAAAATGATATATACAAGTTTGCATTTTGCAAAACGGAACATTTTCTATAAGCATACAAAGTTCAAAAACAAAAAAATTTCCAAAAGTATCCACAATTTTGGCCACCACTGTACATGTTTTACCTTTGTATTCTATAAAATAAATCATAATTTAACCAATATTAATTTTCAAAATTTTCCTTTTATATCATTCTTCTTCAATTTCAGTATTCTGACAACCTTTTTCTATGATCTAATTCTATATTAAAAAAAACTCTTTTACACAAAATTTTTGTATATTTTAACTCTAAAATGTGTATTTTAACTCTAAAATATATGCAGATTTGAAATATGTAATAAACAAATATGCAATTTTTGAACCTATTTTGATAAAAAAAAAAAAAGTACGCAGTGAGAGGGTTAAAAATATCTCTCGTAGGAAAATTATTTAACAGAAATTAAGGAAACAAAAATTACAGCTATATATACCTTTTCAAACTGTGCAGCCTTTTTCTCTTTCTCCCTTTCTTTTTTTTCTTTCTTTTTCTGAGCAGCCGTTTTAACTGTGGAAAGTTCAGAAGGCTCATTTTTATCTTTAGCAGTTGGTTCTTTGATTGTTTCATCTTTGGCAGCTGGTTCTTTGTTCTTCTTCTTTGACTGTTTTTCAGAAACATTATCAGCAGCTTCAGGTTTAGCATCAGGTACAACTGCAACTGTATCCTTGACTTTATCTTCAGGTTGTTTTATTTTATTTTCTATGGCTAGTTCCTCCAACATTTTTTGAATTTCATCATCATCATCATCATCCCCTTTCTTCTTGCGCTCTCTCTTCTTTGATTTTTTCCCTGCCTTAGCATCTGATTTTGATTTGTTTTTTTCTTCGGCAGTATTTTCAACAGCTTCAGAGCTGTCTTGTATCTTAGTCCGCAAAGAATCTTCATCTTCACTATTGTCTTTTGTTTCAAAATCTTCCACTTCTAAAATATTAAAACTAGCTTTTGGAAGTTTTTTCTTGTTTTTGCGCTGTTGTTCTAATGTTATGATTTCAATTTCTTCATCACTGAAATTTTCTAAAAGAGGAGGTGAAAAACTTTTCTTTTTATCTTTAGCCTTTTTAGAACGTTTAGAGTGTCCAGTATCCTCCTGGTGATCCTAGAAAATAATTTATTTAAAATTTTATAAATACGTTTATGACAATATATATATGATTAAAAAATAAAAGTATATATTAATATATAGATTAATCAAAGAAGCAAGAGATATCTATGCCAATTTGAATTTTAATAAATGGTAAATTCATCCTTTGTTTGATATTAATTTAAAATACGGAAACATACCACATTTTTCAGACATACAGCAAAGTAATCAGTTTCTTTTAGGGAATCATAAATAAGTAAACTGGGAGTAATGAAAAACAGCATTTTATTAGCGTTATATATATATATATATATATATATATATATAATATCAGTTGGTGAAATTACAATTACAACTAATTACAAACTACTCCTTTACTACTGTGTCACAAATTTGAAAAAAAAAAAAAAAAAAAAAAAAAAAAAAAAAGTCTCTGTTGATGCAACCAATGTATGTACAGTACACGTTACAAGAATAGGAAAACTGTTCACTATTCAAGAAAAAAGAAAAAGAAGAAGACAGGCCCTGAAAAGACATTCTTTTTTAAACCAGGAGACAATTTAGATGTCTATAACTTTTCACTCATGACAAAAATACTTACCTTTTTTGCTAGTAATTTAACATAATAATTTAGTATGACTTTTTAGTGATCCTTTATTGCAACAGATTAGCTTCACTTAAAAAACATTTTATTTGAATAATATTTCTTGAAGATACTGACAGGTACTAAAAGACAGGCCATCAACTTACTTCACTTCTCCAAACATCCAAATCTATTTATTCATTGAAATTTTCTGATTTTCAAATTACTGATCTCTAAATATCTTCTCTTGTTTGAAATGGTAACAAAATAATTTTAAAGTTAAACCTCCCTGAAGTCTTCACAGGCAGGAATTTACTAATAGGTCAACAATAGAAAATAATGCAGCCCACCAGTGGCCGAGTACTAAAGTTGCTAAATATTGGTAGTTCAGCCCGGGATTCTAATCTTAGCGAACGGACTAGCTGTATGGGTGTTTTTCTGGTTTTCCCTATGGATATGAGCTAGTTTCTCTTAGAAGTCCTCCACAAGGCATCTTCCCTTTTGACGAATACCATTGTATGTTATGCCATAATAAAAAAATAATAATAAATAGAAAATAACTGGCATGTACAAATGATAAAAATTTCTATTTGTATACAATAATAATATTTAAATCCTTAACTTGCAAGGAATTATCAAATTTCCCTGAGCGTGCTCTCTTACTGGGGTACATGGTTAAGCACATCCAGCTAGCGACCTATCATTTAAATCCCAGCAAATGCACAATTGGTTTTTCCCATTTTATGTTGGGAAGGAAATAACTATTGGTGTCAAAAAAACTGAAGTTTAAAAAAGTTTTATTTTTATTTTAAATTAAGAGAAAACCTTTCATTAATGTTACTTTCCTATAATGTAAACACTCAAAAATTAACAAATTGCTTAAAGTTGCAGATATATTACAGTTAATTCTAGGTACTAAATTACTTAAAATTATACATACTCTCTTTTAAACAGCCAGATATTTTATTATTTAAGTATTTCAAGGAATGGTTTAATGCAACAGTCTAGCCTCTCATGACTGAGAACATTATCCTTGATGCATTACACAAAGGAGACTAAATTACACCTATGAGAAATTTACAAGCAAGGTATGAAATATTATTACTAAAACTTTATATAAAGAACCAATTCCAAAACCTTTTAATGGTAAAAGGTACAGAATACACTTTTTTTAATGTATTTGATTTGATTTCAAACAGGAACATACCTTCAAACATTGTACCCTGAGCACATACGAAAGTTCTACTTTTCTGAAGAATTAAGAAGTACAACTACATTTTAAGCAATTGATACTTTTAATCAATGATGTAAGTTCAGTCATTTTTGATGACCTTTAGCCATTTATCTAGCTGAATTTCAACACTATATTTGCCAACATTTTTAGATACAAAAAGTTCTTGAAACTCTACCACAGTGGTGTTCAACTGGTGGCTCGTGTATGCCTGCTAGCTCCCAATCCCATCTTTAGGTGTCCGTGAATCCCAATATCCCCATAAGACAAAAACCACATAAAATAAATAAATAAATAAATAAAAAACACCATAAAAATGGTCAATTACACACTACATACACAGGTATAACATTTGTGTTCACCTATTTGTGCATTACCACCTACAATCTTTCCATGTTTTTTATCTGCATGATGAATTAGAATTAGCATGTCTGTTTTCATAAGATGCTAGTGTTACTGCATGTCTGCAAAAATAATAAATTCTGTCCAGACACACAGTCATAAGTTATCAGTCAAATAAGTTGATATAAAGTTCACAGTACAGGCTATAAAAATGTGTTGTTTTTGGCAAGTTTTAAAGCACCACTTTAATTATTTCCTATATTTTGTGCTGTGCTTGTTGATATGAATGACAAAGAGAACCTACCACTTCGATGAATTAGAAGAGCTGTTATTTACAAACATGGGCCAAAAGGCAGTTTGCAAATTATACAATGCTTCAATAGTAGTATCAAAGTGACTGAATGCTGAACATCATCACAAAACTGTTCATAAGGATTTCAACAATAATATATCCACTCAGCTCTACTTTATGTAAAGTTCAATTATTAAAATCTCTTCCGGGAACTCGACAAAGCAGTCTTTTTACCCTAAAAAAATGAAGCAAAGAATCACACAGAAGCATCCTTAAGTTATATTCTTGCATCACATAAAAAAGCATATTCAGACAGGGCATTGTGAAAGAAGCTAATAATCTCAGCTACAAAAGATATGCCTCCATCACAAAACTGTCGCATAACGAGTGGACGATATGAAGAATAGCATCAACATGAGATCTGATTTTGAAAAATATGTTTTTCGCAGCAATTTGATGAATCCACTGATGTTAGTGACTGACCGCAACTTCTAATATTCATGATAAAAGTGTTTTCTCACTTCTCCGTGAATCATGCCGACTTTGGCAAAACTCACTTGAGGGCAAAATATATATGATGCAGTTAAAAAATATATTACTGAAGAGAAGTGCCAATGAAAAAAAATTCAATCACAATCAGTGGTGCGCCGGCTATGATTGGGAATAATACAGTACAAAGTCCGAAATCCAGACGTCCATTATTCGGAACGATCTAAAATCCGGACCTCAAAACCACCAACAACGTTTTCTCGTAGCCTTTACGCATGTACATTTGATTATCCCCTCTGCACATAATAAAACATCTGGAGAGTCCCGATTCCTAATTTCACATTGACACTAAATAAAATACAGTCAAAAGTCGTTAATCCGGACTCTGACTTCGATTCCGAATTATCGATTTTTCTGGATTATAGATCATCAGTTTAAATCTGGTAAGATGGCATGCAGAAATTATAAAATTAAAAATATGAAACCGTAATTTATGAAATAAAGAACAATTATGATCTAAAGGGTATCAAAATTTACAAAAAAAAAAAAGAGCTTAATATTTATTTGTTTACTTTATTAAACATTTCTTTCAATATAAGTTGTTTCGTTTTTTATGTGATAATACATTCTCTTTAATTCTATAAACAGATATAATTTCTTGTTTAGTTACAAAGTTCCGCTGTTTAAGTCCTATAATTGCTGTGTCGAGAATACCGACTAATTTGTCAAACAGAATTTTTTCGTTTTCAATAACCTCTGTGTCACTTTCTTCGCTATCGGAAGTGAATTATAATGACGAGGAATTTGATTTAAATCATATCAAAGACGGAGTACATCGAGATGAAATACTACATTTAGTAAGGAATTATAAGCCAAATAAAATAAAAACATCTGCTCTGAAGATAAGGATAGTGCTGACAGATCAACTTCCAATTCACTGCGCACCGTGGCGTTAAAGATAAACAAACGTTAAAGTTTAGATAAACAAAGGATATGGCTTTATCCATTTTTTGCATCAATTCCACTTTTTGTTTAATGGACTTCGAAACATACTTTGTAGATCCTTTACATATTAGTAAATGTATATCAGAAATTCTATTTGACATAATCAAAAGTTCAAGCTTACTTTTATAAAATGGCTCTAACAGTCTGCAAAAAATAATAAGCCGAATCCAATTTGAAGATTAGCGTAATGCGCGTAGCCAACGCGCGTAAAGGTCTTACGCGCATGCGTCAACACGATGCAGAAAGTTTGTAGCTTTGAGGTCCGGATTATAGATCATTCCGGATTATGGGTATCCGAATTAACGACTTTTGACTGTACCTTGTTATTAAAGAAACAATCATTTTAGCATAAATTTGAACGACCAGTGATTTGCCTCAGTTGCTGCATATCTGCTTGGCACACATTGGAATCCGAAACATTCCACATAGATACATCGTTGATTTCACGGCAACCTGGTGAATCATTCATTATTTATTAAATTTTCCTTTCATCACCGTATATTTATCAAACCATGACAACTTAAGTAATGACTCATACAGTGATGCCTAAACAATTTTTTTAAGTTAATAATTGAATAAAAAAGGAGTATGTAACATTTTATGTTGGCACTACACTTGGCGATGATTACAGATTTAAGTTAAATGCACTAAAAAATGTTGACGAGAAAAAGTTTGCCAAAAATTTCTTTCCATATGTTAAAAATACATTTTGTTGATGATACTCATAGACCTAAAGATTACATTTAGGGCTATTTGAATTAAGAATAACTGATTTGTTATTCACATAAACCCAGAATCAGCACCTGGGCTCGTATGGCCGCAGAATTTAGGACCCACAGAGAACGCATCACGTGGTAATATACCTAGCGCCGGTCCTCAATAAGCCTTAAGTGAGAATTTATTTATTCACGACTAGGATAAGCCTTAAGCATACACAAGAAATAGACATAAGTATAATAAATAACTAATACAATTCCAGCTTAATTGTCTCAGTGCACGAAAGAAGCAAGATAAAATTTAACGGAACAACTTGTCATTAGTTGCCAAGATCATGATGCAAAGCCAAATATATA